TCATGGTAGCATTTTGGTAGGTTGTATGTGTTTAGGAATTTATCCATTTCTTCTAGATTTTCCAATGTATTGGTATATAGTTGCTCGTAGTAGTCTTTAATGATCCTTTGCATTTCTTGGTATTAGTTATGTCTCCTTTTTCCCTTCTGATTTTATTTATTTTTGATCTTTTCTCTTTTTTTCCTTTAGCTAAAGGTTTGCCTATTTTATTTTTTCAAAACAACAACTTTTCATTTCATTGATCTTTTGTATTTTTTGATCTATTTGTTTCAATTTAACTTATTTCTGCTCTGACCTTTATTCTTTCTTTTCTTCTGCTAATTTTGGGTTTGGTTTGCTCTTGCTTTTCTAGTTCTTTAAGATGCATCATTAGGTTATTTATTTGATGTTTTTCCACTTTTTGATGTAGGTGCTTATTCCTATAAACTCTCTTAGTACTGCTTTCATTGTATCACATAGGTTTTGACATGTTGTTTCCATTATGATTTGTTTCAAGAAATTTTAAAAATTTCCTTAATTTCTTCATTGACCCACTGATCATTCAGGAACATATTAATTTCCATGTTTTTGTATAGTTTCCAAAGTTCCTCGTTACTGATTTCTAGTTTTATTTCACTGTGGTCAGAGAAAATACCTGATATGATTTCAATTTTTTCTGAAATTTTTAAGACTTGTTTTGTGACTCAAATGTGGTCTGTCCTTGAGAATGATCCATATGCTGAGGAGAAGAATGTGTATCTGCAGCACTTGAATGAAAATCTTTTGTAAATATCTCTTAGGTCTATGTGGTCTATAGGGCAGATTAGGTCCAATGTTTCTTTGTTGACTTTCTGTCTGGATGATCTGTCCAGTGCTGCAAGTGGGATGTTGAAATCTCTAGCTATTATTCTATTGAAATATATCTCTCCCTTTAGTTCTAATAACATCTGCTTTATATATCTGGGTGCTGCAGTGTTGGGTACATATATATTCATAAATGTTATAATCTCTTGCTGAATTGACCCCTTTATCATTATCTAATGATCTTGTCCCTTTTTATAGTTTTTGTCTTGAAATGTATTTTGTCTAAGTATAAGCTACTCCTGATCACTTCTGGTTTCAATTTGTATGCAATATCTTTTTCCATTTCTTTATTTTCAGTCCATGTGTGTCTTTGTAGGTAAAGTGTGCTTCTTGTAGGCAACAGATCATTGGGTTTTGTTTTTTATCCACTGAGCCATTCTATGTCTTTTAACTAGAGAGTTTAGTTCATTTATATTCAATGTTATTATTGATAAGTCAGGACTTAGTCCTGCCATTTTGTTATTTATTTTCTGGTTTGGTGGTCTTCTCTTTCTTCCTTCCTGTCTTCCTTTTTGTGAAGGTGGTTTTCTCTGGTGGTATACTTTTTATCTTTTGTGTATCTTTTGTAGATTTTTGAGCTTACCATGAGGCTTGCAATATTATTTATTTGAGACAGGGTCTCGCTCTCATAGCCCAGGCTGGAGTGCAATGGTGTGATCTCGGCTCACTGCAACCTCCGCCTTCCGGGTTCAAGCGATTCTCGTGCCTCAGCCTCCCAAGTAGCTGGGATTACAGGTGCTCGCCACCATGCCTGGCTAATTTTTGTATTATTAGTAGAGATGGGGTTTCACCATGTTGGCCAAGCTGGTCTTGAACTCCTGACCTCAGGTGAGCCACCAGCTTTGGCCTCCCAAAGTGCTGGGATTATAGACCTGAGCCACTGTGCCTGGCTAATAATCCATTACTTTTAAACTAATGACAACTAAATACTGATTGCAAAAACAAGCAGATAAAATAAATAAAAACTTTAACTTCATCCCCTGCTGTTTCTTAACTTTGTTGTTTCTATTTATATCTTACACTGTCTTGAAAAGTAGTTTTTTAAACAGATGCATCTTTTAGTCTTCTGCTGTTTATTTCAGTGATTTCATGCTAATCTTTTATCTATTTATTTTTTAACTTTTAATTTTTTTTTTTTTTTTTTAAGAGACACAGTATTGCTATATTGCCCAAGCTGGTCTCTTAACTCCTGGCCTCAAGCAATCCTTCTGCCTTGGCCTCCCAAAGTGCTGGGATTACAGGTGTGAGCCACCATGCCTGGCCCACACTAATCTTTTATATTCTTATCCTTTGACTTTATTTAGGTATAGTTTGTTCTTCTTTACTAGCTTCTTAGGGTAGAATCTTAGGTCATTGATTTGAGACCTTTCTCCTTTTCTGATACAGGCATTTGAAGGTGTACACTTCCCTCTAAGCACTGCCTTAGTTGCATCTAATAAATTTTGATGTTCATTAAAACTTTCAAGTTCAAAATCTTTTTAAATTTCTCTTGTGATTTATTCTTTGACTTATGGTTTAGAAGTGCATTTAATTTCCAGATATTTGGGGTTTTATTTCTGGTCAGCATCTCCAATTTAACTCTGTTGTGGCCAGAGAACATACTTTGTATGAATTCAGTCTTTCAAAATTTGCTAGGCACAATGGCATGTGCCTGTAGTCCCAGGTACTCAGGAGCCTGAGATGAGAGCATTGCTTGAGCCTAGGAGTTCAAGACCAGCCAGGGTAACATAGCAAGACTCCACCTCTTAAAAAAATTTGTTTTAGTTTATTGAGACTTGTTTTGTGGCCTACCATAGGTCTGTCCTGGAGAATGCTGCATGTGGGATTCACACCCAAGGAATGTCATTGTGTTGGTTAAGTAACTTGCGCAGACTAATTCTGTGACTCCCCTCTCCTCTACAATGTACAGCTGCTGATCTTTCTTGCCCAGTTTTTTTCCCCTTGGTCTTATTTTTAAGTCTAGCTCTCTAGTTTAAAATGTTCTATCTTTCTAGGCTCAAAAATGTCTGCAGAGGTTAGTGTTCAAGCCAATTACTGGTCAGAGATTGTGCTCAACACCTCTGATAGCCAGCAAGGCTTCCATTCTCTGCTGACAGATCCATGTGTGGGCTAGAGACACATTCAAAGTTCCAGCTGTTTTCAAGTGAGTCCTGGCTTCTACTTTCTTCTGGGTACTCTTGGTCTCTTCACCCATGTGGACAGGCTCCACTGCCTGGGAACATGTGGGAGGCTTGGTCTCTGCTATGCCGTATGCACAGCCTCTGGTCGGCTTGGGATATGTAGAGACCTTATCAGTACCTCCCCACTCCCTTGGCTGTTTTATCTCATTAAACTCCCTCTTAAATCCCTGCCTAGTCCACTGGTTGATGGTTTCTCCCAAACAGGTCCACAACCTCAGGCTAGCAAAGCCACTGGCCCTTCCTGCCACTGAAATTGCCACTTCAATTCCCAGTGCTGTAAATCAGTTTCTCAACCTCAGCACTACTGGCACTTTAAACTAGATAATTCTTTGTTTGGGGGGGTGGGGGGGGGGCGGTCCCCTGAGCATTGCAGGAGGTTTAGCAGCATCCCTGGTCTCTACCCACTAGATACGGTAACACTTTCCCCCCACCACACCCCCACAGTTGTTACAACAAAAACATCCCAGAAATTGCCATCCCCATTTGAGAAACACTGGTCCAGGGTACATCAGTCATAATTCGGGAGACGTCTTTCTTTAGCCAAAAAAGATCACGCCATGACATGTAATAACCAGAAATATACATACCATATTTCAAAGTTCAAGAGGCATACATCTTCTAATGCCAGTGCATTACCTCTTTGTTCAAATATGTACAAACCACAAAATACTCCGCACCTTCATGGGAACAAAATAAAAATAACCAAGTATCTATCGGCCAATAATCCTGACTGAGGATGAGCTGTGCCTGTAGTTCAGAAGATCTGGAATCATGTTGGGAAAATGAGACTAATGAAATAAACAGTACCTTTTCCAGAGCAATTCTCGTCTTCCAGATGAGACATAATCACAGACTGCAGTTTGTGAGGGCTGCTTGTCTCATGTGGAATAAGCTAACCACCACTGTCTGCCACGCGTGCTAGGCAAAATAATGGCCCCCAAGTTTCAAAGTCCACATCGTAATCCCCAGAACCTGTGAGTGTTTCACGGCAAATGGGACTTTGCAGGTGCGATTAAGAATCTGGAGATGGGGGATTATCCGGGGTCATCCAAGCGTGCCCAATGTAAATACAAGGGTCCTTAGAAGAGGGAGGCAGTAGGGTCAGAGGAGATGTGAGGCTGGAAGCAGAGGCTGGAGTGATGTGGGGCCACCAGCCAATGAATACAGAAGGAATTCTAGAAGCTAGAAAAAGCAGAGAAACATTCTCAGCTAGGGCCTTCGGAAGGAACCAGCTCTTGATTTTGGCACAGTGAGACCCAATTCAAACTCCTAACCTCCAGAACTGTAAAAGAATAAATTTGCGTGTGTGTGTGTGTGTGACCAAGTCTCGCTCTGTCCCCCAGGCTAGAGTGCAGTGGCACATCCTAGGTTCAAGCAATTCTCATGCCTCAGCCTCCCAAGTAGCTGGGATTACAGCGCCACCTTGCCTGGCTAATTTTTGTATTTTTAGAGACGGGGTTTCACCATGTTGGCCAGGCTGGTCTTGAACTCCTGACCTCGAGTGATCTGCTCTCCTCGGCCTCCTAAAGTGCTGGGATTACAGGCATGAGCCACCGTGCCCGACCCAAATTTATGTTATTTTAAGCCACTACGTTTGCAGTAATTTGCTACATAGCCACAGGAAACCAACACACCACCCCTATACCATGTGTAGTCCAGTCTCCCGGACCAACTGGTTGCTGGCCACCAATTCTACCTTTATTTTCTAGGGAGGCCATATGGTATGGTGGTGAAGCCTGGGTGCTGTGGGGTTGTGTTCAAAACACAGCTACTTCTGTGTAACACGGACAAGTGATCCGACCCGTCTTGGACAGCCACCCTCGGCGAAGAAAGGGAGATAAGGGCGCCCATCCAGTGCTGTGAGAACTCAGTGAAGCAATGCCATGCGAACGGCTTAGCAAAGTGCCTGCTGCATGACACCTGCTCTTAAAGTCGCATCATCACGACCCTCTTGCCCATTTCTGTCTCCCCTCCTAGTGTGTCTATGGCGGAGTCCTAAGAGGAACTGGGAAGCAGGCCTTTGGTGCCGCTGTGAATGCCATCACCTACTACATCATCGGCCTACCACTGGGCATCCTTCTGACCTTTCTGGTCAGAATGAGAATCATGGGTATGTGGTGTGAGGAAGTCGGGAGGGGCCTGGGTGGTCGGTCGGACACTGTTCCTATCATCGCTTGTCTCCTGCAGGCCTCTGGCTGGGCATGCTGGCCTGTGTCTTCCTGGCAACTGCTGCCTTTGTTGCCTATACTGCCCGGCTGGACTGGAAGCTTGCCGCAGAGGAGGTAAGTGGGTCGGCTGCCCCTGGCCACAGGACTCATCCTGCACCTGACCCCAGCAGGCAGAGTGACTACTCAGCCAGAAATGCCCAGAACACACGAGAACTTGGCAGCAGTGTGGTATAAGCTGCAAGTGTTTTGTGGGGGATTACAGAGGGGCCACCTGAGCCTCAATAGTGGCTCCTGTCACTGTAGTTGGCCAGTATAAGAAGCACGCTCGGCCGGGCGCGGTGGCTCAAGCCTGTAATCCCAGCACTTTGGGAGGCCGAGACGGGCGGATCACGAGGTCAGGAGATCGAGACCATCCTGGCTAACACGGTGAAACCTCGTCTCTACTAAAAAATACAAAAAAAAAAAACTAGCTGGGCGAGGTGGCGGGCCCTGTAGTCCCAGCTACTCGGGAGGCTGAGGCAGGAGAATGGCGTAAACCTGGGAGGCGGAGCTTGCAGTGAGCGGAGATCCGGCCACTGCACTCCAGCCCGGGCGATAGACCGAGACTCTGTCTCAAAAAAAAAAAAAAAAAAAAAAAAAAAAAGCACGCTCTGCGGTTATAAATAGAAACAAAACCAAAAACCTTCCTTACACAGCCCCATCTGTGGAAAACCAAACAAACACAAAGCACTCAAACTAGTCTGAACCTGGATGAACCCCCGAGCGTGTGCCTTGACTTTGGAAGGAGTAATAAAACCACCCTGCCCACCATCCTCTTTGATGTCCTTTTTAAACAGGGCAGGGCAGCCTTTGCATCTCAGGCACAGCGAAGGCACGACTCAGTCTGCAAGCAGAGCACAGAAGCAGTGTTCTCTCAAAGACCCTGAATACCATCAGAGTGTGGTTTTGCCTCTGTGCATAGAAAAAGTCATCCTGACACTTAAGATGCTGGATAAACAGATATTTAACATGATACATGTATTTATTTGAAATGGAGTATCGCTCTGTTGCCCAGGATGGAGTGTAGTGGCGCGATCTCGGCTCAATGCAAACTCTGCCTCCCAGGGCTGAGATTTTCCTGCCTCAGCCTCCTGAGTAGCTAGGACTACAGGCATGCGCCACCACACACAGCTACTTTTTTAGTATTTTTGGTAGAGACAGGTTTCACTATATTGCCCAGGCTGGCCTTGAACTCCTGAGCTCAAGCGATCCACCGCCTCGGCCTCCCAAAGTGCTGGGATTACAAGTGTGAGCCACCACGCCCAGCCTTAAAATGATACTTTCTAAAAGCCCCACCAACTATGAATACAAGCACATGTGCTGCTTCAGCTTGCAGTGCTTTAAAAACAGTGAATGCGAGGCCAGTGAAGGCGTGAACTACTGAGCTGGCAGTTGACCCAAGCGAGTTCTTTCTCCTTTAGGCTAAGAAACACTCAGGCCAGCAGCAGCAGCAGCAGAGAGCAGAGAGCACTGTACCCAGACCTGGGCCTGAGAAAGCAGTCCTATCTTCAGGTAATGCTGTCACGGCTGCTTCTACTTTGGTATACATAGAAATGTCAGTGGCATGTTGCTCCTGTCTGCCCTCTGTGCCTCATGCAATTGGAAACTGTACAAGCCAAAACTGTTTTTCTTCCATTATGAAAATGATGTCCTAAGCACCAGGAAGACATCATCATCATTTATTGTCTAGCAGGCATGCAAGTACCAGGCCCTACGTCAAGTCTTTGGCCTTAAGAGGCAACTAGATGTATGCCCACTTTCAGATGAGGAAGTGAGGCTGAAAGAACTCAGGTATTTCCTCCCTCATCCCACAACTTGTAAAGGCCAGACATAAGATCTGAGCATCAACCTGTCGGACTCTAAAGCTCATGATCTCCCCCACTGAATTCTGCTCAAGATGAAAAGCCAACTTTTAACCTCCGGGGAGCCCGGCTGACTCACCGGCTTTGGGGGGCACCTGCTACCTACCTCTCTCCACCCTCTCAGGCAGACAAGCATCTCTCTGGTTTATGCCCAATGTCCATGTCATGAAGTGATGGCCCCAGCTCTGCCCCAGGGCTGGACCTGAGTGCCAGGTGTGTGTGCAAATGGCCCAAAGCTCAGGAAGATGATGTCTCCATGACCTCATCCATCCTGGGCTAATCCTTGATCAGGGCAGTAGTGAGGCAGCTAAAACTCTGGGAGTGTCAGGTGTCATGAGAGAATATAGTAAGACACGATTAATTGTGTTTCCCATGTGCTTCTGAAGCCACAGATCACAGGGCCAAGCGCCGACAAGAACGCTCCTCACCAGATCTCAGTAGTAAGCATTATCTGCATGTGAAATTCAGTTTAAGACGCTTTCCTGCATATCCCCTCCTCTGATCTTGCTTGCAAAGCAGATAAAGCAGGTATTTTTCTATTGTATAGGCATTGACCCTTGTGAGGTGTAACAAACACAGCCAGGTGGTTAATCTAGGTTTTCTGATTCCAAGGCCAAAGTTCTCCCTCTGACCCCTGACCTGCTGAGTTTGCTCCTGTTTGCTTCCACAGTGGCTACAGGGAGTTCCCCTGGCATTACCTTGACAACGTATTCAAGGTCTGACTGCCAGGTCGACCTCTTCAGGACTCCAGAGGAGGCCCACATCCTTTCAGCTCCTGCCAGCAGACTGTCAGTGAAACAGCTGGTCATCCGCCGTGGGGCTGCTCTGGGGGCGGCGTCAGCCACACTGCTGGTGGGGCTCGCGGTCAGGATCCTAGCCACCAGGCACTAGCAAAGCAGCTTGGAAACAGAAAGCCAGGAGTGGCTGTCCCCGGTACCCAAACACACCACGGTCTGCCCTGCAAAAGCGCCAATGGGGTCCCGTGCAGGAGGACACTTTGAACGACTCCTCAAAAAAAGAACTTTGGCTGATTCCTTGTGGTGACACTCAGAGGGGTCTGAACAGAGCGGACTTCACAATTCTCTTCTGGTCAAGCTGGAGTTTTCTTCTCTGGCCTGGATTGCTCTGTAGAAGACATCAGCCAACTGCACGAGTCAGAGTCCAGGGACTGCCACTATTATTAATAATGTAAATGGCTTCAAATGGGAGACTGCAGATACAATCACCAAAACCACTGTTACATTAAAGATTACACATTTCCTAGGCACAGCCTGCGGCTCAAGTCTGTCATGAAGCCTCTGTGAAGCTCTGAGAACGGGGCCAGTGGGTTCTGTCCAGGCACCTCCTGTGTGCCCCCAGCAGATACAGGTGATACAGATACACCAGCAGATACAGGTGCTGTGAGACCCTGACCAGGGCGGTGGCTGTCCATATACCCTTCTTCCCCTTTTCTCCAGTTCTTTCATTCCATCAGCATTTTCATTTATCACAGACTTTGAGAAACACTTGTTCTTACTGTACTTTTTCTTCTAGTAGTGACGTGATATAAATAAGGGCAGAAAACAAGTAGGAACAGAGCACAGCAAAGTCATCATGGAAGCAATTCCAGATTCTAAGGTACTGTTTGCCCAAGTGTGGTCCACGGTTAACAGGTGTTAAGGTAAACGGCTCCACGGTCAAGGAAGTCTGGGAACTGCACACACTAGCACTTCAGAGGTTCCGAAGGACCTGTGTCCTTTAGTCTGCTGATGTGCTTTACAAGCCAGTGGTATACAGGACGTGCGGCAGGATCATTTTTGTGTGTAAAATCTTGTGGGATTAGCGTTCTACGAATATGCTTACAGTTGTTCTAGATCAACAACTGGGGGTAAGAGGACGCCACTGGAAAAACCTATTTACTACAGCTACTAACCACCACCCCCAACACACACAGCAGAGCCATGAAGTTTGAGAAAATCTCGGCCAAGAATTTTAAAATGAGAAAGCATGACAAAAAAAGTTGACAAACACCATCTATGATAAAGACATAAAAGGATTTATAGTTGGGGAGAATTTATAACCCAAGGATTATCTCCAATAGGGAACATCTGAGGTTCCACACCAGGAACGTCATTAAAATTGATGCCAATTTTATGAAAGATGTTCATTTTGAAGCAGATATGTATTAGTAGACACGCCAGTAATTTAAACATACTCAATGAAAATTCCATAATACAATTTTATCTAAGGTATTTTATGATTACTCTCGTAGAGCCAGTTTTAAGCAGCTTTTTCCTAAACTGGGCTAGTTATTAATTCTCGACACTCCATGCTATGATGAAGACATCACATACTTTAGACAGCCTTAATAGAACAAATTATTCAACAAAGTTGATTATACATTCTATAAAGTAAATTACATTCTGTCATTGAGTGAGCTGAGTCTTTTTGAGTGTGGGGACGCGTCTCTGCAGTCAGGAGCTCCAGGGCATAGCCCTGCCTGCCCTGCCCCGTCCAGCAGGTAACGCTGCGTTCTGCAGGCCTCTTCTTCAGCCTTGCCCACTCAGCTGAGTACCTCAGGTTGTGGCCATGGACGACTGATGAGAGTAACTTCTGACTTGCTCAGGGGATCCTTTTGCGATCCATCCCCTTCAGTATGACCAATTGCAGTGGCTTACTCGCTTCGTGTCCAGACCATCCACCAACTGTCTGCCCCGTGAAGCTCTCAAACCCCAAAGTCCTAATATCCAAGACCTCTTTGTCTGCGAGAGGCAATGGTTCCCTCACTTTCAGTTCTGTAGGCTATTCAGAAAGGGATCTCTCTATAGTTTAAAAAAGTGAAATTTTACTTGCATTGTGCTACAGAAATAAGAAACTTACAGATTTGTCCTTGAAGACCTACTAACCTGCAACCTTAGGGTCCTGAGAGAGGATTCGTGTAAGTACTTTTATTACAGTATTTTTTGTTTGGGAGACAGGGTCTTGCTCTGTTGCCCAAGTTGAAGTGCAGTGGTGCAATCACAGCCCACCGCAGCCTTGGCCTTGCAGGCTCATTCGATCCTCATGCTTCAGCCTCCTGAGCACAGGCTCATGCCACCACATCTAGCTTATTTTTACTTTTTGGTAGAGATGAGGTCTCACTATGTGGTCCAGGCAGGTCTCAAATTCCTGGACTCAAGCAATCCTCCCACCTCGGCCTCCCAAAGTGCTGGGATTACAGGCATGAGCCACCATGTCCAGCTACAGTATTTTTAAAATGCCAGTTAGGTTTTATAAGATGTAGAATTCTGTAACTCCAACACAAGAATGACAGGTGATGCTTGCATGACTTTGTCAACTAACTTCCAGGAAGCCCTAGGATTTACAAGATGCTTTGAGTGGTATTAGTCACAAGAGATTGTTGCAACTAAACAGAACACAGGATGAAGGAGCATGAATGAGGGAGAATGAAGACCACTGGTGAGATGGCACTTCTGACCAGGGGCCTGACTCCTGGAGGTCAAGTCCTTGAGTCCCATTGGAGGAAGAGTAACCCCTCCCTCCCCCACATAGGGTTTTAGTGCCTGAAATCTCACAGGGAACCGAGACCATCTGACCTCACCTCTCTGACTACAGAGGACTGCTGGTAGCCCTGGGAAGCACCAGGCTCTTGAAAGCTTCATACAGTGATGGTGGTAGCAGGGGCAGGAGGTGGGCAGTGCCATTACCTGGAGGGAAGGATTCACTAAGTAGGTTCTGAGACTCCCTTAAAGTTTGTATTTAGTCTAATACATTCTCCTCCCCTAGCTCAAAGCTCCAAGATTTAGATAAGCACAATTTAAGGCAGGTTCCCTGAATATCCTATTAGGGAATGTTGGGATTTGGTTGAAATGGCAAGTTTTATTAATGATGAATGGCAATGACTTTTGAGTTTGATCACAGTGTGTTTGCATATTTTCTTACTATTTTTGGTAGGATTTAAAAATTATTGGTTCATTAACCATTTAAAAGAGGAATAATTCAGTAGAGGCACTAGGAGGTTGAACAGGATCATTCTTCAGTAATATCCAGCCTGGAGAGAGGAAAAAGGGATCCAGTTTACTCAGCTGCTTTAAAAACCTACCCACAATCAGCCTTGCAACACAAGCTCAGCACTGGGACTCAGATACCTCCTGTCTGAAGAGACTCTACAGGCATTGTACAAAAAAGGACTACATATTCCTAGGAAGCCTAGGAAGCGTGGTTTGGGCTAAAGGATTACGCCCTTCCTCAAAAAAAAAAAAAAAAAACAATAATAGCGAGACAACGTGATAATGGAGACTATATTCTGTCCACTGTCAATTAGCTAATGTTAGAGTAGAGACAGAAGATGAGAGTACTAACTTATTATCCTGGCATTTTCAGTAGGAAGCTAAAGTCTCTACATGGAATTCAAAAACTGGTAAACAATTTTGTTTCTAAAATTCAAAAGTGGTACTGAATTTAATCCTTCCTGTTGAAGACTGAGGAAGGGTTGCTGCAGTCTCAAGGTTCAAATGTCATATTTAGTTGTCAAAGGCCTAATGAAATTTATCAACATTAACCTCCTATGTTTCTCAACCTTTTAAAACCCCCATCTCCCACAATGCCTTCTGTAGCTTATAAGCTTTATTGGAACTTTACTTTGTGTACAGTACTTATGCCCTAAATCCCTTCTAATTCTAGTAGGGTACTTAATAAAATAAAATCCAAGGGTGAAACAAAATAAGGAAACTATTAAGTACATAAAAACCATTTCAGAAAAATGTAATTACAATAAATAGACTCTTCAGGTAAATATACAGTACAGATTCAAAGTCATTTATTTAAAATAAAAGGCAGTTTGATAAAAAGAGGATTAAAAGCTCAGAGAGGAGCAGAAAAGCAGCAAAGCAGAAAAGAAAACCAAATCTCTACCTAGTTCCAGACTGAATCTGAAGAAACATTAACAACTAATAGTAATGAGAATTGAGAGGGAGGGTTGGAAGTGGCCTGGAGAATCACTGACACCTCATCCTCATCCTGTAGATGAGCAAGCTGAGGCCAAAGGAAGAGCTCAGAAAAGGCCTTGCCCAAGGTCATTAAGCCAAGAATCAAATCACGTTTTCTTGTTCCTGCTAAAGATTTTATATATTGCTGCTGCTTTTATATATTGCTGCTTCTCTAGACCCTCACAGAGAAACGCTGTGGGAACTCGAACCTGCCTGGCAGAGTGCACTGCACCTGAGGGAGGCTTCTTGGGGGTTTGGTAAGCGTGGAGAATGCAGACTCAGCCTGGGCCTCCGTATTTTCCATGAGGCTAAAATATTCTATCCCAACCAAGTCGCATTATCAGGCTGAGGAACCAAGGTCTTGGGAAAAGAACAAAAGAGGCAGATATTAACCAGAGACCCAAGTAAGCTTCCGACTGCACCTCCAGCCTCAGGAAGGCAGAGAAGAAAGTAGCCCCTAAATTGTATACTACACCTTGATGTCACGACATTTGCTGCCATGAATTCCAAAGTCAAACCTTTTTTAAAAATGAAAACAAATCACAACTACACAGTGACTTTTAAAATATTCTTAAATTAGGGGCCGGGTGCAGTGGCTCAAGCCTGTAATCCCAGCACTTTGGGAGGCTGAGACGGGCGGATCACAAGGTCAGGAGATCGAGATCAGCCTGGCTAACACGGTGAAACCCCGTCTCTACTAAAAATACAAAAACTAGCCGGTCGTGGTGGCGGGCGCCTGTACTCCCGGCTACTCGGGAGGCTGAGGCAGGAGGATGGCGTAAACCCAGGAGGCGGAGCTTGCAGTGAGCTGAGATCCGGCCACTGCACTCCAGCCTGGGCGACAGAGCGAGACTCCATCTCAAAAAAAAAAAAAAAAAAAAATTCTTAAATTACGACATAAAGAGTTCAGTGCCCAGATGGTGACAAGTCTGAATTAGTCAGTTGGCACTTCCCCTAGGAGAGCTGAGTAGAAGGGGAAGAGAAATGAGGCTCACACTTGGCTGCCCTTTTCCTAGAAATAATATATGCTTCGCCTTGACGCAGCTAAGCCATCGCCTCTGCACATTTCTCTTAGATTCCTAGCAAGTCGCCTCGCCCTTTTAAAACTGTGGATAAGTGGAGTTTTAACACCCTGACACTCTGAGCCCAGGTCCAAAATGTCTAGAGATAAGTAAGTTAAACATTCTTTCCTCTCTTTTTTTTTTTGGAGACGGAGTCTCGCTCTGTCACCCAGAGTGGAGTGCAGTGGCATAATCTCGGCTCACTGCAATCTCCGCCTCCTGGGTTCAAGCGATTCT